CACATCACAATGCAACCAATACCACCATTCCTCTGTCTCCAGAACATTTCCATCTTCCCCAATTGAAACGGTGTGCCCATTAAACCCCTACCAAACTCCATTCTACTCTGTCCCTCTGAATCTGACTCCTCCATGCACCTTATATAAATGGAATCATACATTTGTTCTTTTGTGACTGGTTTATTTCACTTAACATTTTCAAGGTTCATACAGGTAGCACGTGTCAGAATTTCCTTCCTTTTTAAGGCTGAATAATTGTGTAGACTTATAAGTAAAGCTGCTGCTGTCTCACTTTATGGCCCCATATTTTGAGCCTTGCTATAAAATGTCACACTCAACAAGACTTTAAAAACTGAGTTATTTCATTAGTATATAACTTGAAAATACTACTGAGTACTTATCATAGCTAGTGAAAAGTAATAAATGTATGGATTTCTTTTCATGAGAACTGTCTTCACACAGTGGTTATCTTAAGTTGGAAACTAGGTATTGGCATCCTTGCAAAGAAATAATGTTACTTGATTAGCCTTGTGGCTATAGAGTCACTCAGGAAAGTCACATTCTGTAATTCCTGGCATCTGAGTAATAAAGCACATACAGAGAAACCTACAGATAATTCAGTATCCCAAGGTGGCTCACCGAAATAACCAGATCAAAACCACATGGCTGATCTCTCATCAAATGCTCTTCCCATTTTCTTACTAATCACCCTTGCTAAAAAGTTGTTTTATACTCACATTATCTACTTCTGTGTTTATTCATTTATTTAGAATATGTATATATATATATTGCTCAAATGTTACAACAGATTTGGCTCTAGTCCATAAAGGATATTACAAAGTACAAAAGAAAGCCTAACATTGCTGCAGGAGAAATGGAAGTTCTCCTGGTCATGTCTGCCTAAAAATTATTATTATGTGAGTCTCAATCATGTTTCGTAGCTGTGGATGATGTAATAAATGTTTACATATTCCAGATGATCTCATAAAGCTTACTTTTAACTTAGATCTGCAAACACGAACACATTGTGCAATGTTATCAAGAGGTGAAACGAGCACAGCAAGTGACTTATTTGTAAATTTTTCAATGGACAAGCATTCATTTTTAAGCTGTGTCTTCAGCTTTTAAGACATCACCTCTCTCCCCATGAGACACCACTTCCTCCATGTCCTTTGAATTATTACGGGATGAGATGAGAAAGAAACTAAAAGGGGAATGAAATTTTTTTGATCACAGTAGAAAGATAATTTGGACTGAATAATAGATGAAGACACCAGAAGGAAGAGCTTGTAGGATGAAGTGGAGAACAAAATATTGGCCCCTGAAGTCTGTGCTCAAAGTGATTTTTTTCCAAGAATTTTGTATATCACGCCTGTCATAAACATTTAGTTTCATTGTGCAATGAAGACAGATGACAAGAATTTGCTGCTCCAGCAAACAAAAAAAAAAAAGAAAGAAAAAAGAAACTTCACTATGTCCTTGGAATCTGCCTTTTTTTGGTTTCAAATGTGCAATGGAAAACTTGGGCCTGCAAGGGCTGGGGTTGGGGACAGTTGTTTATGTAACTAATTGGACATCTACATAATTATGAAAATCAGGGCAGGTCCCTCTATTCTCATCTGTTTCAAAGCCAAGCCTTGCTCTAAAGTTAAGAGGCATGCAGGCTTGAGAGAGGTGCACAGCTTAGCTGTCCTACGCTGACTCACTTACATAAGCTTCAAGGTTATGAGGGTTTTCTTCATTTTGCGTCTAAATGGTAGGAGGGAAAAACATGTTTTCAGAGTCAGTTATCAGGGAAGAAAAGTGCTTGAGCAGGTCTTAGGTTAGGGAGAACTTTTATAGATCAGAGGATGATGAGAGATGTGAAGAAACAATTGAAGACAAAGAGACTGGTGGAAAACCGTCCTGAAGAAAGATCCAGGAGCAACGTACCTTCCACAGAGAGAAGAGACAAGTGAACAATCACAGAAAAGATAGGGATTTTGGCATCAAGAAAAAGGATGCTGGAGAAACTCGGTATCTTATCAGCAAATGAGGTAGTGAGGTCACCTTCTGAGAAAGAATGAATGGGACTTGGGTCTTGGGAAGTTTTGGCCTAGCCCCCATGAGAAATGCAAGAGGCAACTGGACAGATGAATGAAAGGGTGATCAAGCAGGGTGAGCTAGAGTCATAGTGAGTCATTCGAAGGGTGTTTTGGAGGGGTTATTTGAAATCTCAGAGATGGGGCAATTTCAAGTGATGATTATATCTAAGATGGCACTTTCTGAGTGCCAACAGAGGGCATTCCAGTTGAGCAGATCAAGTACGAAGCCAAGGTATCAGTGCCACCTACTGGCTTATGGATGCCAATGAGGAGGGAAACAAGAGATCTAGAGAATTCTAAATTTTCATAAAACTATTTGAATAATTCTTGCTTGACCTAGCCATGCATCCTCTGTAATTACAAAGGACACTTTGGGCATAGATATGGAATAACTCCCAGAACCATCTAAACAGCATTCAATTTAGCAGAGCAGGGTGCATTTAGCTTAAAATCCTATCCTAGCAGTGGATCTAAGACACCATGGAGATTAAGGTGGATGAATATCAGGAGTTAGGAAAACCAAACCACATGAATGCCAAGGCAAAGTAACTGTCTTTGCCTCCAGGTCTAGCAGAGAGTCCAGTGTATGCCCTTGCTCTTCTGTTCTAACCTAGACTGTCTGAGGAAGTCAAAGTCTCCTGGCTAGCACTTGAATTATTACTATCTCTTTACAAATCATTCTTCTCAAAAATCTTTAAGAACCCAAGAGCAGGTTCTTTTTGATTAGTATATATTTGATTAGTATATTTGACTAGTATATCTAGTCCATCTAATACCTAGCACCTAGGTGTTCAAAGAATATCAATAGAATGAATGAATAAATGAAGGAAGGAAGGAAGGATCTATGATCCTACATTTCTCTAGAATACACTTTCTTTGGGTTTAGAAGCCTCTGCAAAACCCTTCTCTCATTCCTGTTCCACTCAGTCCACACCTTTTGAAAGATACATAGCTACCATACAACTCCATAAACAAATTATTAGCATTGACAATGTACGCAAGACCTACTTCTTCCTACCAGGTCTGTTCTAGATCCTCTGCTCGTTTTCTTGCTAGTGACTGGACTGATAATTACTGCTCAGTTGGTTGTGGCAAAGGTCACACTGTGCCAAAAGTGGAAAAGATTACAGCAAGGGCGGTAATTAAGAAGTGGAATGGGGAACCTGAATAAATAAAAGGCCACATAAATATGATGCCTATATTGAGTCAGACAGTCTCAACTTGAAATCACCCACTCCTACTAGACAGAAGTCCCAGCCTTTTTTTGCCTTGGAAACCAAGCTTTCTTTCTGATGACCAAGAATGCAACTAGTCCATTCTAATACCTTTGTGTGATTTAGTAAAAAGCGTCCCCTACAGAGGCAGAGGCAGCCAACACCAGAGTGCATGGCTCAGTGAGATGAACCCGGGCTGGATTTCTGCCTCCCCTCGACCACTAGGGCAGTCACCTTGTGCAGTGAACAAATTGCACATTTACATTCTTTGCCCTCATTGGGGATGCACTGTTTGGGGCCTCGGGCTCCTGGGAGTCACTCCGAGCTAAGAACCATGGTTCCATTCTAAAAGTTATATATCATATTACTTGGCAACAACTAGAAGATGAAGAAGAGCAGAGTCTAGGATGTGAAGGGTGTGCCAATACTAGATAATTGCATTGCTCTGGATATGTCCTTTTCCCTTTAGTTAACAAAACTAATAGACTAACTCTACATCAAAAGACAAACTCTACCTACCTCTTCATTTTCATTTTTATGGTTTAGTGCAAGGGAAAGATTTATGTATATAAGGTTTACCTCACCCAACTGCACTAGTTCAGTAAAGCTATGGGACAATGCAAAGGAGTGGACTTCCCTCCATCTCTCACCAGTCAAGTCTGTGTTTCCAGGACTTCAAAGCAACTACAATAAATCAGGCAGCAAATCTCAGAGTTTCAGTAAGACGCCTTGGTTAAACCATGCATGAGTAACTGCTACCTCACTATTCTGGCTGGAGCTCAGATTGACAATGTTCAGACATACTTACAGGGGGTGGGGTGATTCTGCTGAAATCTGACACTATATTTTCTGAGCATGATCTGTTTCCAAACAATACCAAGTGGTTCTTTGGATCAGACTGAAGAAATTTGTCAATTTCTTTTAGGACAATGGGAGGAAAGGACATGTGTAGTGTGAGTAGAGAGTTGAATTCAGTGAGTAGAGACCCATCATTGGTTTATCACTGGATTATCATCTTCAAAGAGGTTGGCCTGTCTCCACCATTTTTACTATGAGAGTAATTTCTTAAATGGTCATAAGGAGTTTGTAAGGCTGGACTTACTTCTGTGGAAAGGCCTCCTATGTGTTTTTCCTTGGGAAAGATAAACTTTCCAATTAAATGAAGGATTCTCTGGCTATCTCTTCATTGTTACTCTTTCAGGGTGAGATGCAGCTCACATCTGTCAAACATTAGCCAAGTTTCGACTCCCCTTCTTAACCAGTAACCACAATACCCCCAGAATGGTGGGTGGGTCCTGCTTGTTGCTTGACTTGAACCAAGGCTATAAGTGGGGTCTCTGGGGTCCAGAACCCTCAGCCTTTAACAGGAAAGTCAGAAGGAGATCAGTATAGGGGTCCTGTGAGAAGCCCCCGTTGGCCTCTCTCTACTTATAAAATCTGTAACACATGTTGACTAGATCCAAAATTATGTCATTGCCTCATAACTTTTTGAGGTTCCAACTTCCGAGGCCCTTGGGAGAGGAGCAGTTGTTATTGTAAGGTCAGGATTTAGGACGGGCAACTGAAGCCATTCAAGGTCTCCTCGCTGTGTTGTTTCCATTGCTTTTAGGCAGCCACAGAGAGATCTGGCTGCTCTCAGACTGACAGCCTAGGCAGCACTGCCATGTAGAAATGAGGTAAACAACTGGATTTTGTTCCCTAGGAGAATACATTGATGAACATGGTCACTGCCAGGTCTGTGAAGCCTCGTGTGCCAAGTGCTGGGGGCCAACTCAGGAAGACTGCACTGACTGCCCCATCACAAGGTAAGTGGCCTCTCAGTATCTCCTGTGGTTGAGAGCTCATGGGTGGCAGGATGGAGAGAGGAGGTGTTTACCACCTTAAAGACACCCCTTGGGCCTGCAGAAAAAGGAAGCAAACTCCTTCCCATGACACAAAACCCCTCTGTGGTCTGGCTACAGCCCACCTCTGTAGCATCTTCTCCCCATGATGTCCTGTACCCTCTGCGAGAAAGTTACCTGGACACTAGAGGGGTTTCCTCATCAATGAAAATGATGGTGCCTTTGATACCTGCAGTTGCATCCCCTTCTGCACACCCATCATCTCCAACTGCTGATCAAATATCTGTTCATATTTCTAGAATCAGTTCAAGGATGAACTGTTCTATGAAGGCATTTTGACCACTTCCCAGAATGAACCTTCTTCTCTTTATGTTCCTCTGGGCTCTGTATAAACTTCCATGAGCACCTGTGACATTTTAAAATGTTAATTTACAAATCTCTATCTCTCTATAGAGGAGCTATATTTCGATAAGCCCATTGAAATACTCATCTTTGTATCTCCATTACCTATCACGGCACAAGGAAAATAGTAGGCACTCAGTAAATGTTTGGAAGGTGAATGAATAGGGAAATAAGTACCTGAATGGTAAGAGAATCTGCTAATACACTGGGAATTTCTAGTATAGAGAGTTGGAAGCCTGTTGCCTTTTTAGTCGACACTCCTCTGATTGGTGCACTTAATATTTGCTGGCTGACCGAGTGTTTGAAAGGATAGTCCCATCACATCTCTGCAAAGTGCATTGGAAGCAGGCTCTCTCCAGACCAGTATGATGAGGCTGCTTCAGCGGCAAATGAATCCCTAGGATGGACATCCCCTCTGCTTTGTACAACAGTCATTTCATCTAATTCTTCCTCAGGATTATAACATCCTGAGCAGAAACTGTGGTTGTATTTGTCTCCCTATTCCCCTACAGTGATCAACACATAGTAATAATTCAAGAAATGATAAAGTATATAATCAATATTATGGGCTTGGGTCCCCAAATAGCTTCCTCAGGAAAACAAAAAAGGGGGGGAGAGATGGAGGGAGGAAGGGAGACAGACACCAAAGAACAGTCCTAAGAATTGTCAATGCTAACTGTGGTAACATTTTCCAAGTGTCTCTTTTAGATTTCTATGCCTCTACATATTGGATTTGCTTTAAAGCAGCCTCAGGACATACTCTTAGGTACAGACATCATTCCGAATATGGGTCCCGTTTCTCCTAATTCCTCACCATATCAACAGTTAAATCCCACTGCATGTTTGGACATCTTTGAACTAAGGGAACTTACTAGCATTTGTTTACTGAGGCAGCTATTATCATCCAGTGTATACTGCAGAAGTCATGGTTGTCCCAGGCACATCAAAAGTGAGAAAAAAACTCTACTTCCATAAATAGCCATTAAAAAAAATTGAATCCCATTGGTACACGAAGATCAGAGATACGGGTAGTATAACTGGCTTAAGCAGCCCATGATTTAGCTTTTAAAGAAAGAAAAGCATGTTCATGAATCTTGAACTCATGTCTCCTCCTAAGGAACTCTTGTTTCCCAGGAAGAATTTTCTTGTCATCTCCCTGAGCACTCATCTCTCTTCCTTGATGAAAATTACTTGCAAATATGTCCAAGAAAGGGCATCATATCACGGCAATTAACTACTTGATCTTTTTTTAATCTGCATTTTCCTAGAACAGGGTTGAGAAGATGAAGAGATAAAAACTATTTTGAAAGATGTTGGTGTTGACTTATTTGTTCTTAAAAGGTCAGCAAAGTATTTTTCTTAAGTATTTTCCATAACATTTTCTTGAGTGGAATCAGGTCCATTCAAGATGGTCTTGAGCACCTGCTTTATGGCCAGCTCTGAGTTAGGTACAAGGTCCATGAATTTTAATAGGTAGCTCAGGAGGTCAAAGTCAAGGGTTTGTGAAGTGCTCAGGGACCAGCAAAAGTGGGGCAGCATCCTAGACCTGAAGCAAAAGCTGCAGCCCTGGAGGACGGGATGTCTTGCTTGATAGAAAGTGGAGCCGTAGGGGACACAGCCACTCCAGAACCATGGAAGGAGAATGCAGAATTGCAGCCCAAGGCAGGGAATAAATACCCCCAATCTCCCTCTCCTCCCGACTGCAGATCTGCCGGTGTTTTTCCTTGTCTGAAATTAACTGGAGGCCAATGGGGAAACACCACTTACAAATGGGGGAAGTGAGCTTGGGGAGACAGGTTCTAGTTGGCACATTTCCAGGACACAGCAGGACAGAGAATAACAAAAAAATGGATCTGAAGCAAGGGTAAGGAGACAGAATAACCAAGAGAGTTGGTTTGTCCAAGTTTCTTCCTGGTCTTAAGCTTTTGGATATCTCTAGTCATGGCAGAAAAAAATCATCCCTAAAGGAGATTTTTTTTTTAAGATTATTTATTTATTTGAGAGAGAGAAAGAGAGGGCATGAGTAGGAGGGAGGAGCAGAGGGAGAGGGAGAAGCAGGCTCCCCACTGAGCAGGGAGCCCCAGGCTGAGATCATGACCCAAGCTGAAGGCTTGGCTGAGCCAACCAGGCACCCCCCCTTAAAGGAGTTTTTATCTAGGAGAGAAGTGTTCATATTTAACTTATAGGTTTGCTTCAAAATAATATGGGAGGGAAGTAACTCAGAGGGGATATAAGCAAGATTGACCATGCAGTGAAATTGTTGCAGCTGAGAGATGAATACAGAGGAAAGGGTACTGTTATGTCTTGTATATGTGTTTATTTTATATATATTTAATTTTTTTCCTTAGTAAAATTTTTAAAAATAACATAACCCTGAACTTGTTTTACAGAAAATCAAACTTTAGGAAGCGCTCTCTTTGTATTCTAGTTCTCGCTTTACATTTCCATTAACCCTTGGGTACAGCTCCTTAGAGATGATTGAAAACTTGGAAGAAGAAAGAGCCCCTGTTGGCACTACTATCTAACATGTAGACCTCTGCAATGCTGTGATCCTCATGGTCCTCCTGGCCAAAGCTGGCTTCCCACCCAGTCCTGAAGGAGTCATAGAGTCGATGAACCAATTAAAAACATTGAAAGTTACCTCTATTCTGACCCTCCCTCAAATGTTTTATTTGATCTGTTTCAATGAATTCAGGGGGAGAAAAAAGACTTTTTCCCAGATTTCATTCTGATTTAATATTAAAGTACCAGGGGCACCTGGGTGGTTCAGTTGGTTAAGTGTCTGCCTTCAGCTCGAGTCATGATCCCGGGGGGCCTGGGATGGAGCCCCTCCCTCCAGTCAGGCTCCCTGCTCAGTGGGGAGCCTGCTTCTCCCTCTCCCTCTGCCCCTCCCCCTGTTCATGCTTTCTCTCTCTCTCTCCAAGCAAATAAATAAGGTCTTAAAAATAATTAAAGTACCAAGAAATTACATTAAGTGCCCTTGTGATGGCTTATTAAGGCCAAACCAACAATCAGCAGAAGATCCACTAACCCTGATTTGCCATCTCTTCTGTTCCGGTTTGTATCACATACACACACACACTGGGAGGTCTGGAAAATTTAGTGCCAATGTAGAGAACATTACCTCTGCCCAGCTCTTTAGCACTTGGTTTTGCCGACTTCTTCCTTTCCATAAGCCCCATTGGACCTGGAATTGTTCACTGCTTATGAAAAGGCTAAGAGCATGCCTGAGTTGGGGACAAAATGCCTCCCCTGCAGAGATTAGCTTGCCCAATTGTCTCAGAAGTCCAGAGTGGATGACTGGCTGTCCTAGAAATGGCTTGAGTTGGCTTTACAGGAAATTGTCCTTAGCCCCATGGAGCCCAGAGCAAGGTTGTCTCTTCTCCTCCACTAGGGAAGATTTGTTAGTGTCAGTGGAAATCTGTGCCACTTGAAATGGTACTTTTCTCAAGTTCCTTAGCAATTTTCCTTGAGGGGGATGGAGGGTGCAAGGGACGATGTAATTCAGTGCCTTTACCCAAGCATGACTGTTTTCCTTCTCTTTTCCGATCTTTAGAAAGAATCACATTCTTCCAAAAACCCGTGTGCTTCACCTACGCTTTCCTTCGGGTAGATACGAAGGGAGGTGGTTTAAAGCACCATTATGTGCTTGATATTTTCTTAAAATCAAGCACTCAAGTCAGAAAGGCACCCCCAACCATATATAATACACAAAAGTATTACACCATTGGCTTCACCCCCAAGTCTGCCACCCCCACTTTCTGGACGCTTCTACACGGTTCCCATCATTAAGAGTATTAGATCACCTCTCCCAAGAGAAATTATTTCCCCCTAAACAAATTCGTCAGCTCTTTCTGTAAAAGGCAAAAAATGACGATATACTTTTCATTCCCTTTGCAACTGAATTTCGGGGGAAAAAAGAACCCTCACAAGTAAACATTCCCATTCTCCCTTCAGCAGAGTATCTAGTAGCTTCCTTGTTGAAAAAAACCTCAGAAAGCTCTTATGCAGTTTTTCTTAAAGGCAGGTTTTGGGTTTTTTTTAACTAGTCACATCCACATGATTCCTTGAAAAATCTTCTAGCTCAGAAACCAGAGCCAGGGTGGGGCTGGGATATTCCCAGTTGGCATTAGTGCCATCAACTGAAAATCTGGGCTGGGAGCACAGCCTTCTCATTATACACCGTGGTGCAAGGGGTCTGTTTTGACTCGGACAACCAGATGTGCATACGTGTCTGCTTAGGGCTGGGACTTCATGCCCTGCAGTGGGCTCAAAGGCTTGTTCACTCCAGTGGTGACCAGAGCCTAACGGGCAGAGAACGCAAGAACGAGACGGCTGTCTGTCTTATGTCGGTGGCGTTAATCCCGTTGTTTCTTCTTCTTTTTTTTTTTTTACAGAAATTAAATTTTTTTTTTAAGATTTTATTTATTTGACAGAGAGAGAGACAGAGGCAGGCAGAGGGAGAAGCAGACTCCCCGCCGAGCAAGGAGCCTGATGCGGGGCTCAGTCCCAGGACCCTGGGATCATGACCTGAGCCGAAGGCAGATGCTTAACCGACTGAGCCACCCGGGCGCCCCAATCCCATTGTTTCTAACAGATGTAAATGACACAGACTCTCAGGGTGTGGAGATGAGATGGAAGATCGCAAGCAACACCCTAGTCAGGCTGCCTTGGTCCTGTTCCAACCTGCACAGCCCTGTGACTGAAATGGCCCATCCCCAGCTCAGGGCTGGCTCTAGCTGTAGAAACAGTGGGATTTAGACACACCAGTGCACCCCAGGCCTATGCCTGACCTTCCATGGGATGTCCAGCTTGGGGAAAGAGAGTTAGTAGAGAGAGAAAGGAGCCCTACCTTTGCTGACAGGCCCTCCGCTCTCTCAGGCCAGGATGCCAACCTTATACCATCGGGGGTACGTCTGTGCTACATGGTCAGTTAGCTGGACAGTAGCTACTACTATAAGGAAACTTGAACAGACCCAGTTTGACACCACCTGTGTTAACTTAGGACTCATTTAGCAAATTCCATGGTAATCCATACTATCAGCGAGCAGAAGGCAGAATAGCAGCTCTCAAAATGTGTTCCCTAGACCAGCAGCATGTGCTTCACCCAGGAACTTAAAAAACACAAATTCTCAGCTCTCTCCCCCCAAAAATCACTGAATTAGAAACTCTGGGGGTGGAGCCCCACAGCTCACTTTATTACTGCATCACCTATCTGACTCTTGCGCTTGGTAAACATTTTGTATTTTTCTAAGCGAAGTTTTTGGATACGATTTACCTAATCCTCTTTGCTCTTGGGATTACTTTGCAAAGGAAGAAAAGAAGCAAGACTATGAAAATATTAACAGTGACATTATGATATGTATTTTATGTGTATAAAATCAAAGGTTTTAGAAGCCCCATGATAACTCATCTGTGGTGTCCTTGTAGGTGTTCGCAAACATGATGAAAAAAAGTTGGTACTTTAGAAATCAGGAAACGCTTGCAAAAATGACACTCAAAATCATTTTTATCGATTACTTGCCATATACATAGGCCAAGTTTATAAGTAGCACGTAAGCACCAGGACCGCGCTTTATTCTACCCTTTTGAGAGCCCTTGATGTTGACATTTCCCTTGTAAAGTGTGCATATGTTGATAACTAAAGGAAGAATATTTCTCCAAGGCCTCTGGATTCAGAGGCCTAGTTAGTGTCTTGAAAATTTAAAGACCTCCATCTGACTGTTGACTGCGTTTGGCTGGGGCCCACACTATGGGTTTAATCCCTGCAGGCACTGGTTAGCTTATTTGGAACCAGACTCCGGATTGCATCCTGAGCCAGTTTCTGGCATGCCTGCTGTTGGGTCCAAACCTTGGGCCAAGGATGGGTACGTGACTAATATTCCACATGTTCTAAGATGATCAGTCCCAGGCATCCCCCTTGTTTCTGGAACAATGAAACCAAGTCTGTGCACTGAAACATGAACACCACATGTTCTCATACTTAGAGCCATTCCAGAAAGTCACCCTTTCAAACGCTGAAATCTGCTCTTCCTCTAGGACTTTTGACAATGGCCGCTGCATTTTCAAATGTCCCTCAGGGAAATTTGAATTTGAGAACCAATGCCATCTATGCCACTACACCTGCCAAGAATGCCAAGGAAATGAGCCTTCCAACTGCACTGCCTGTGGAGTAGGTGAGGAAGTCTGGCTGCTCTCTTCTTCCTTTCTGCAAAGCTGTTCTCCCACTGGTTTGACTCAGAAGCTTCAACTCTGGGGATAGGGGGTAGATATTAGACAGCTGTTCATTGGAGAGTGTGTATCACCTTGAAGTTTCTGCTTCTTGTCAGGAAATGAATTCACATTATCGTAGGCGCAGACTCACTGCCCCTAAGGACATGAGAGAGAAGCTAAGAGATGTCCTTCTAAAGAAGGAGAAAGAAAGGTCATTCAGACATGAGACCGTCAGGAAAGCTAAGATTTGTTGAGGTGAAAGTGAAAAGCGAGGATGTTAAGGGTGACACATTCAGTCTTCAAGAGAAATACTGAAATAGAGGCTGTGTCAACGTCTCCTCAGCCCTGAGCTATGCCATTTAGAAGTTGTCAGAGCCCTACTGTAGGAACAAAGGAATTGTTTCAACACAAAAATATTACTTTTTGTCTCAGGTTTAACAGTTCAAGTTTCTGCTGTCATTGGATTATATTCCATGATCTCAAAGGTCCTCTACAGTTTGACCTTTGACTCCTTCCCAACTTCCCCTCATATGTCTGTTCCCCACTTTGACCTCACGTGGGCCAGATTCATATTTTACTTGACCTTTTAACATTTCAGCCAAATTTTAAAATTGGGAAATTTCAAAGAAAAACCTTGGTGGTTTGGTTTTTTTGTTTGTTTGTTTTTGTTTTGGCTTGCTTTGGTTTCTTTTGAAAACTTGGAGCACAACACTGGGCACCACTTGGCCTACATTCCCCAGATGGTTGAGTGGAGATCAGAGGCTGCTCTTTGTTTCTCCACAGTCCCCACCACTCCCTATCGTCTCACTGATCCCAAGGCCATCAGTTACCACCACCATCGTGCTTACATGGTTTTTTTTCTGGTGGAAGAGAATTATTTATCTTTATTCTTCCTCGTAATATAACCAAGAAAAATGAAGAACAAATTGAGAGTATCATGCATTTGCAGGAAAATGGGAGAGAACACATTTCTTTGTGTAAATTAAAATTATTTCTTTGTTTCTTATGTAAACAAAGTAGATCTATATCAATTTTTCTCTGTAGCCTGCTCCTTTCTGTTTCCTTCCTCGTCGAAAGGATGGTGATAATGGTTTTCTACTTTTAAGATTATGACAATGAAATGAGGTTAAATGAGATAAAATAACAAAGCACTTAAATAGGGCTGGGCACATTAGAAGTACTCAATAAATATTAAATACTACCCTTACTACTTCTAGACTACGACTACTACCACTGTTATTGTTCGTACCTACTTACTCCTGTGGGCATGCGAATTTCTCTAGCTGTTCAAAGACTTCCCTGGAAATGTTCCTCACTTATCTGCCTGACCTCTATTTATTTTTAGGTCTCAGTTTCAACATCATTTCCTCAATGAGGGCTGCCCCAATTTCCTTGTCTGGGATGGGACCTCTCCATATGTGCATCCTTGGAGCCTCCACTTACCCCTTTACAGTCATCCTCAAACTTGATAGCTATCTTGTCCATAAGACTCTATGTCCTGTAAGAGCAGTGAATGGTTTCTACCTGAGCACTAGCTTTGAGCACTGGTAGAGCATCAGCACGCACAGTATAACTGAATAAATGAATGGTTCAGTAGAAAGAATATCAGTACCAGCAATCAGGGTACCTGGGTTCTAGTTCCACCTCTTTTAAGTTTCTCCTTGTTTGTAAAAAAAAAAAAAAAAAAAAAAATGGGGGTGGAGGTGGCACATAGACAAGACAGCATCTAAAATCCCTTTCACACTTAAAACACACTAAATCTTCATACATAGTCCAAAATTAAGGATTCGCTTGAATACCGAACAAATGTCTAATATGTTCTAAGCATCTTATAGTTACTTGGACCAATCCACACAAAAGATGCTTTGACATTTCTTCTCTATTTTTTGTTTAAAAGTCTGTGTTTACTCCATATCTTAACAAAAGTTCACATGTAGAAGTTACTACACATAGTTGCCATAGAAAATGCAATAAATGATTGTATGATGCTTGCCTTCAAGGACTTTACAGCCTAACAGGGATTTATGCTCGTGTATTATAAAACAAGAAAATATTAAAGACCAAAGGAAGGAAGGAATCCTACCACAAGTCAGAGGGGAAACATCACTTTCAGCTCTAGTGAGCAGAAAAGCCTTGCCAGAGAAGGCATTGTTGAGCAAGCTCTGATTAGCAGGGTTCCCCCCTATTAAGAGCACAAGGCCCCTAGTGCATATATTAGCATGGCCAGTACATGAAACAGTGCTAAAGACAAGGGATGCCTGACCTGAGGCAGTTCCATATCAACAGGCTTTAATACTGAGGGGTGTTTGGGTGGCTCAGTCAGTTGGGCCTCTAACTCTTGGTTTTGGCTCAGGTCATGATCTCGGGGTTGTGGGATTCAGCCCTGTGACAGGCTCCATGTTGGGCACCAAATCTTCTTGAGATTCTCTCCTCATTCCTCCCTCCCCCTCTGCTCCTCCCCCTGCTCCTCTCTCAAATAAATACTTAAATAAAATCGTTAAAAAAAAAATAAAAGGCTGAAAACCCTCTGACTACAGGGTGCCAAATACACACATAAGCATCTCCCATCAGTTCACAGAAATCTCACCTTTGGTTAACTGTAATTTTATTAAGATTTAGGTTTGAATCCTTTTGAAAGTACAGATTTCTAGCCCTGTTGGTGAAGATTCCCTCTAAGTTCTTGTCCGGATTTTCCTCTACAAAACTGAACCCAAAGCTAAATTTGACCAATCACACAACAACTACAGTAAGAAAAATGTTGAAGCTAAACTTTATAAAGTTTACTTTCAGAATCCCTCAGCCTTTATTTTTTTTAAGATTTTATTTCTTTGAGAGAGAGAGAGAGCACGAGCAGGGGGGGAGGTGCAGAGGGGAGGGAGAAGCAGACTCCCCACTGAGCAGGGAGCGTGTTGCGGGGCTCGATCCCGGGACCCCAGATCATGACCTGAGTTGAAGGCAGACACTTAACCGACTGAGCCACCCAGGCGCCCCCTCAGCCTTTCTTTCATCATTTCCAGCAATCCTTTCCCTTCATGTCTTCTGCCCTCAACCTTTCTTTCTTCCTGAAGGCATGCTGTCTTCACATGAGTCTACCTTCTCTTCTAATGAAATTAGCTGCAAGAGATGCTCTGGAAACAGCCAATTGCTCTTAGGTATAAATGAAAGCCATTCTCAGAGTTTCTTGCACTTTGACTCATATTATCACATGAAAGGTTTAGCACCTTACAAAAATATCAGCCCTTCTGCTATTAGAACAAACTTCCCTTATTTATTGTCACAATAATTTAAATTCTGAGACTCTGGTCAAGTAGCCAAAAATTTATGCATGATAATTTAAATCACTGGGGTATCCAAATTACCAGCCAAAGCTGGTAATACTACCCAGAGCTGCCATACTACCCAGGCTATTAGAAATTTGAGCCAATCTTGGTGTAATTCTGGACCAAATCTGCAGGAAAAGCTGCCCTTGATCAAGGCATCTAAGTCAACTCCTTTACAGGGTCCATGTATTTTAAATACCAAGACCATCTAAATCTGTTTTTTAAACTCAAATTATAATACCCAACGAGGTTCAAATAATAAAGCCATGTCTGAACAATACAAATGGGATTGGAGAACATTTCCTCTGATATTGGAACCCATCATTGTTAATTTTTATTTTTAGATTGTTGATCCAGGTGGATATGTTAGGAAAATGGGAATATTGCTCAATATTAAGGCACTTAGCCACTCATTCATTCAAACAACAAATATGTATTTAGATCTCAATATATCCCAGACTGTCCCAAGCCTCTGGATCCTGAGGTGATGTTGTGGGAGGGTATAGGGCATGGATAGCAACTGCTGAATGGAGGAGAAAGTAGCTTCTCACTGTTCTCAAATCTTCCTACCTATATCTGAGAAGTTCAGCCCTCTGAAAAATAGGATCTTTTCTGAATGAGTTACGGTGGAAATGGGGTTTGCTAGGGTTTTCATAAGGTGTCTGAGAAGAACAGAGCTTGGAAGGTTGACCCTTTTGTGGTGTCGAGATTCCATGTTCCACGAGAGCAGGGGTTTGTGCTCCATATCAACCTGCAGCTGTAGAATCACCAAATGCACATTACATCCTCCCAAACACTCCCCTTCCCTTAAAGGATAATGTTCATCCAATTCAAACTTGGAGAGCGCAGACACATTCTTACACCACCCTAGGGAAATCCTCTTTATTGGCTTTGTCCCTTGGGAACCAGCAGACTTCCAGTTGGAAATCACAAATAGAAAAGAGGTAGCTTCAGAGCCCATAATCCAAGGGTGTGATTTTTAAATTGGATTTGAACTAGGGACTTAATTAAGGACAAAACATCAGGTTGGATCATTTGGACACAAAAATACTTGAATGTTGGCAATTTCATGTGGTTCGATCTAGTATACTGATATTAAGATTCTGCCCTTGCAACACAGGGTTAGCAATATCTTTATCCACAGATTCAGCAACCTTGCACCTTGAAGGTCAACACTTCTGGATCTTCACGTGGTATATCATGAGTGAACACTAGCCCCAGTTATTTTGGGAAACACAGGTCAGGTGTTCTGCAGAGGCAGGAGCATATGGGAGACTTAATCCAGAGAAGATGGATGCCCTAAATACACTCAGCACAAACAAAAACTCCAGTAGGGTGAGGGTAGGAGACCTCTAGGCACACTTTGTTAATTTTGTTTTAGGTGTATATAAACTGATTATAATTCTTTCTCATTCATTGTGACGTATAATTGGTTCGAATTTTCTATCCCCTCCAAAAGCATATTCCCATAGTCTCACATTAGACATACTGCTAATTCTTTCCAAGTAGACTCCAATGTTGACAGAAGCTCAGGACTTCCAAAAATCCATTTAAGGAGTCAAAAAGGTGTGCTTGGTCTATAGCACTTCAATAGGCTGTCATCATAGGAGTTGGCAACAATGCAAAAATTCAGATTTTTGGACAGTTAATACAAGCATGTGATTTTGATAACAGAATTCAAAATCATTCTAAAAGTCTGCACTCTTACAAAAATGGCTCTATCAGTAAGCATTTGTTTGTTCTTATAGGACCTCTATAGCTCCCAAGTCTGAGAGCTTTCGCAGATACCAAAAAGAGCCCTTGGGAAAGTTAAACACTTTCTGACTTATAGTTATTCACAGAGTGTGATTTCTGCTTTTGCAGTGACATTACAGATGGTAGTCCCTACTCACTCAAATATACAAAATATTCAAAAATTATTCCCTACAATGAAAACTTTTCAACTATAAGTATATAGATATTGTAATTTTCATTAAATGCATTCTTATACTCCTGGTCCCCTAGCAGCCAAAATACTTACATCTTAAAAAAAAAAAAAAAAATCTTAGGTTATATTAGCTTCACAGTTAATTTTGTACATTTTCCTTCTTTTTGTTACCCCTCCATCTGTTCAGATAAGCATGGCCAGGAGCGCTTCCTATATCAGGGGGAGTGTTGGGAGAGCTGCCCAGCAAGCCACTACCCTGCCGAGGGGCACACCTGCCTGCCCTGCTCAGACAACTGTGAGCTTTGCCACAGCGCACACATCTGTACACGATGCATGGGTGGCTACTTCATAGTGCCCACCAACCATACCTGCCAGAAGTTGGAGTGTGGACAAGGTAAGGCTGCTCTGGGCCACTGTCTTATATCAGGAGGTAGCATGAGGAGCTACGCCTGGATGGCTCCAAGATTTGAATTGACCTCCTGGCTTTAATGTTGGCACCTGGGATGACTTTGTGTGACTGCATGTCCTGTGGGGACAGTGATGTCTCCTCCTCTCTTCCTCCACACACCTTTCTCTGGGTCTCTTCAGACACATTCCAGAGACATAGGAATACAGCTAATCACAGAGAAATTGATATTAATCAAGGGTTTGTGGGCAGGGTAAATGGAGAGAAAATCAAATTAGAACCTGAAGGTCCTGACCAACAATTTTCTCCCTCCCAAGTTATTACTAGTTATGAGACCCTGTGCAAAATCAGTCTAATTTCTCTATGCCTTTTTTCCTTCATGGGTGAAAGGGTGAGCATTGCACCAAGCTGCTGCAATGAGAAAACGCTTACCTAAAGCTACTTGAAAATATTAAATGTTTTGCAAATCATATGTGTTATTGCTAGTGCCCAATTCCTTATCTTACATGGGAAGAAGGAGATTAAAAAACAGGACTCACGGTTTTTGTTCTTTTCCATGTAAGAATGCTACAGACTGTCTCTGCTCTGTATAAGAATTATGCCTGGTCTGGTGCTAAAAAGAGTTCCAAGATGTTTCTAGAATAATTAAGACACTCATTCCTTTTTCTGCTTTATGTTTACTGATGTAGTATAGGATTTAAAACTTAAAAAAAAAATAATTTAGGAAAGCAGATTTAAAAAGACGGAGTCTGTTCATTTATATACCCAATTCCATATTCCCAGAAGTAGAACTCATTTTTTTAATAAATGAAATCTACCAGCTTGAAGTCAAAGCTAGTTGTGTGGCACAGAGTCCAACTTGTTCTATTTGTACCAATCAAGCTGATACAATCTGTTAAATTAATGGAAAGAGATAAAAAGGGGGATTCAGGGTGGAGATATAAAAAGACTCTAAACTCATCTCCTTCTACAGATATGATAATTTTATAGCTACATGCAGAATAGTTTTCCTCCAAAATGGACCTGAGAACTGGATAAACTGCACCTCTACAACAAAAGATACAAGAAACACATCAAGGGGAACCTGGGTGACTCAGTCCATTAAGCATCCAACTCTTAGTTTTGGCTCAGGTCATGATCTCACAGCCGTGAGATCAAGTCCCACATCAGGCTCTGTGCTGAGTGTGGAGTCTGCTTCAGATTCTCTCTCCCTCTTCTTCTCGCTTCTCCTCCCCCACTCCCCCTCTGCTTCTCCCCCCCCCCACTCACTTGCACTCTCTCTCTCTCTAAAATAAATAAAATCTTTTTTAAAAAGAGAGAAGGCACATCAAGACACAGAAAAAATATCCAAAGAAATAAGGGCTAAAAACTTCTCTAATCTGGGGGGGGGGGGGGAAACAGATATCTAGGCCCGGGAATCCCAGAGAATTCCAAATAAGAGGAACCCAAACAGAACCACACCAAGATATATAATTAAAATGGTAAAAGTTAAAGATAAAGAGAGAATCTAAAAAGAGGTATAGAAAAACAATTTATTTAATGTACAAGGAAAAACTCATAAGCCTATTAGCAAATTTTGCAGCAGAAACTCTATCCAGGCCAGAAGGGAGTGGCATGATTCAAAGTGCTGAAAGCAAAAAAATTTCCAATCAAGAATTGTCTACTTGCAAAGGTTATCATTCAGAATGAAGGAGAGGTTAGGAGTTTTCCAGATAAGCGAAGGCTAGAGGAGATCACCACTAAAACAGCTTTAGAGGAAATGTTAAGGAGATTTCTCTAAACTGAAAAGAAAAGACACTAATAATGTGAAAAGATATGAAAGTATTAATCTTCCTGGAAAAGGTAAATATATAGTAAAGGTAGTGAATCCATCATTTACAAAGCAAGGTTAAGGTCAAAGGCAAAAATAGTAAAATTAATTAAAATTAAAATAATTAAGGATGCATAAAATTAAAAGATGTAATATGTGTCATCAAAATAATAGAATGAGGAGCTTTGGAATGTGTCCAAAATTAAGCTGTTGTCAACATAAAAAAAAAAACCTCTTATATACATGGGATATTATATGTGAACCTCATGATAACCACAAAGAAAAAAACTTATAGTAAATATACAAAAGAAAATGAGGAAGGAATCTAAACCTAACACTAAAGAAAGCCATCAAACCACAAGGGAAGAGAGAGAAAAAAGGAACCAAGAGGAACTTCAAAAAAAGCCAGGAAACAATTATCAAAATGACAACAGTACATACATATCAATAATTACTTTATATATAAATGGACTAAACTCACCATTCAAAAAGACAGAGTAGCTGAGTGGATTAAAAAAAAATCTATATGCTGTCTATAAGAGACTCACTTCAGAAATAAGGACACACACAGACTGAATGTGAAGGGACAAAAAAAAATTTCATGCAAATGGAAATGAAAAGAAAGCAGGTGTAGCTATACTTATATCATACAAAATAAACTTTAAAAACAAAGCCTATAGTGTATAGGAAATCCACTGATTTGTGTGCATTGATTTTATATGCTGCCACTTTACTGAATTCCTGTATGAGTTCTAGCAGTTTTGGGGTGGAGTCTTTTGGGTTTTCCACATAAAGTATCATATCATCTGCAAACAGTGAGTTTGACTTCTTCTTTGCTGATTCAGATGCCTTTTATTTCTTTTTGTTGTCTGATTGCTGTGGCTAGGACTTCTAGTACTATGTTAAATAGCAGTGGTGACAGTGGACACCCCTGCCACGTTCCTGACCTTAGGGGGAAAGCTCTCAGTTTTTCCCCATTGAGAATGATATTCGCTGTGGGTTTTTCATAGATGGCTTTTATGATATTGAGGTATGTACCCTCTATCCCTATACTCTGAAGAGTTTTGATCAAGAAAGGATGCTGTACTTTGTCAAATGCTTTTTCTGCATCTATTGAGAGGATCATATGGTTCTTGTTCTTTTATTAATGTATTGTATCACATAGATTGATTTGTGGATGTTGAACCAACCTTGCAGCCCAAGACAGAAGAAAGAGAAATTAAGGAGTCGATCCCATTTACAATTGCACCCAAAACTGTAAGATACCTAGGAATAAATCTAACCAAAAAGGCGAAGAATCTGTACTCAGAAAACTATAAAATCCTCAGGAAAGAAATTGAGGAAGACACAAAGAAATGGAAAAACGTCCCATGCTCATGCATTGGAAGAACAAATATTGTGAAGATGTCAATGCTACCTAAAGCAATCTACACATTCAATGCAATCCCTATCAAAATACCATCCACTTTTTTCAAAGAAATGGAACAAATAATCCTGAAATTTGTATGGAACCAGAAGAGACCCCGAATAGCCAGAGGTATGTTGAAAAAGAGAAGCAAAGCTGGTGGCATCACAATTCCGGACTTCCAGCTCTATTACAAAGCTGTCATCATCAAGACAGTATGGTACTGGCACAAAAACAGACACATAGATCAATGGAACAGAATAGAGAGCCCAGAAATGGACCCTCAACTCTATGGTCAACTAATCTTCGACAAAGCAGGAAAGAATGTCCAATGGAAAAAAGACAGTCTCTTCAACAAATGGTGTTGGGAAAATTGGACAGCCACATGCAGAAGAATGAAACTGGACCATTTCCTTACACCACACCCAAAAATAGACTCAAAATGGTTGAAAGACCTCAATGTGAGACAGGAGTCATCAAAATCCTAAAGGAGAACACAGGCAGCAACCTCTTCGACCTCAGCAACAGCAACTTCTTCCTAGAAATGTCACCAGAGGCAAGGGAAGCAAGGGCAAAAATGAACTATTGGGACTTCATCAAGATAAAAAGCTTTTGCACAGCAAAAGAAACAGTCCACAAAACCAAAAGACAACCGACAGAATGGGAGAAGATATTTGCAAATGACATATCAGATAAAGGGCTAGTATCCAAAATCTATAAAGAACTTATCAAACTCAACACCCAAAGAACAAGTAATCCAATCAAGAAATGGACAGAGGACATGAACAGACATTTTTCCAAAGAAGATATCCAAATGGCCAACAGACACATGAAAAAGTGCTCAACATTGCTCGGCATCAGGGACATCCAAATCAAAACCTCAATGAGAGACCACCTCACACCCGTCAGAATGGCTAAAAATAACAAGTCAGGAAATGACAGATGTTGGCGGGGATGCAGAGAAAGGGGAACCCTCCAACACTGTTGGTGGGAATGCAAGCAGGTGTAGCCACTCTGGAAAACAGTATGGAGTTTCCTCAAAAAGTTGAAAATAGAGCTACCATACGACCCAGCAACTGCACTACTGGGCATTTACCCCAAAGATACAAATGTAGTGATCCGAAGGGGTACGTGTACATACTGTACGATGTTTACAGTAGCAATGTCCACAATAGCCAAACTGTGGAAAGAGCCAAGATGTCCATCGACAGATGAATGGATAAAGAAGATGTTGTATATATATATACAATGGAATATTATGCAGCCATCAAAAGGAATGAAATTTTGCCATTTGCAACAACGTGGATGGAGCTGGAAGGTATTATGCTGAGCAAAATAAGTCAATCAGAGAAAGACATGTATCATATGATCTCACTGATATGAGGAATTCTTAATCTCAGGAAACAAACTGAGGGTTGCTGGAGTGGTGGGGGGTGGGAGGCATGGGGTGGCTGGGTGATAGACATTGGGGAGGGTATGTGCTATGGTGAGTGCTGTGAATTGTGTAAAACTGTTGAATCATAGACCTGTACCTCTGAAACAAATAATACAGTATATGTTAAAAAAAAAAGAAGATAGTAGGAAGGGAAAAATGAAGGGGGGGAAACTGGAGGGGGAGACAAACCATGAGAGACTATGGACTCTGAAAAACAAACTGAGGGTTCTAGAAGGGAGGGTGTAGGGGGATGGGTTAGACTGGTGGTGGGTATTAAAGAGGACACGTTCTGCATGGAGCACTGGATGTTATACACAAACAATGAAACATGGAACACT